GGTTGCACTCATTTAGTGAATGCCCTTATCGTACCTAGTCTCCCGTGTAACTTCATCCTCGGAAGCAACTTTATTAGAGAACTGTCGTTAACTGTAAATTTTTCAGACAATACCTGGCAAACGAAAGGTAAAGTCAATATCGTACAGAGTCCCAATCTAGACGAAAATACCTCTTTATGTACTCTTTGCACCATAGACGATTTATCCCCCGATCTTCGTGCAATAGCACAAGATACTATTAAGTGTTTCGAAACTATTACCAATGAGGAGCACTTAGGACGAACAGACAAAATTCAGATGCATATAGATACCGGTGACTCAAAGCCCATTAAAAAGAGGCAATATCCAATGTCCCCTTATATGGCTAATATATTAGGTCAAGAACTTGATGAAATGTTAAAGTTAGGAGTTGTAGAACCTTCTAATAGCCCATGGAGCTCCCCGGTCCTACTTGTAAAGAAAAAATCTGGCGAGTACCGATTCTGTTTTGATGGTAGGTCGCTAAATGAAGTTACTCGTTTTGATTCGTATCCGTTGCCTAGCATTGATCGCATCCTGTCACTCCTTAGAGGAGCAAAGTTCATTAGTTCTATCGATCTTCGTAAGGCCTTTTGGCAAGTTCCTCTCGATAAGGAATCTCGTGAAAAAACTGCGTTTAGTGTGGTAGGTAGAGGTCTGTTTCAGTTTACCGTCATGCCTTTCGGACTCTCCAATTCGGCCCAGACTCAGCAAAGGTTGGTGGACGCTATCTTTGGTCCCGAACTCGAGCCCTGGATATTTTGCTACCTCGATGACATAATTATCTGCTCCCCGAGTTTCGAAGATCACATTAGCATTTTAAAGTTAGTTTTAGACAGGCTCAAGGAGGCGAAGCTAACGATAAATTTGAAAAAGTGTGAGTTTTTCAAAACTCAGTTGAAATTTTTAGGTTATATCGTGGGAGACAACTCACTCCGTACCGATCCCGATAAGATATCCGCGATGGTCGGTTATCCTCGCCCTTCAAATGCTACCGAAATTAAAAGATTCATTGGTTTGTGTTCATGGTATAGGCGGTTCATTAAGGATTTTTCGTCTGTCGTCTCGCCAATTAACGACCTACTCAAAGGAAAGAGAAAAAAGCAGCCTATCGATTGGAATCTTGAAGCTGAAAACTCCTTTCTACGTATAAAGGAGGCACTAGTTTCCGCACCCGTTTTGTCTCAACCCGACTTTACACAACCCTTCGTTATTCAGTGTGATGCTAGTGACACTGGCTTGGGTGGAGTACTGACACAGAATTTAGATGGAGGAGAAAAGGTGATTGCCTATGCTAGTCGCTCGCTCACTAGGTCGGAGCGCAATTATTCCGTTACCGAGAGAGAATGTCTTGCTGTACTTTTCTCCATTGAGAAATTTAGGCCCTATGTCGAAGGAGTTAAGTTTGTCGTTATCACTGACCACCACTCTCTGTTATGGTTGAGCAATCTCAAAAACCCGTCTGGACGTCTGGCTAGGTGGTCTATGAGACTTCGTCAGCACGATTTCGATCTCATTCACCGCAAAGGATCATGGCATAATGTTCCGGACGCCCTTAGCAGGGCCCACGAACATGAAGCGGCTCCCGACCTATCAATTGATGTAAATCCCGTTTCCGACAATCCCGTTTTATGTTACGTTGAGGTAGATTCGGATAGAATCGACCCGTCTTTCGACAATTTTCGTTCAAGAATACTCCGTGATCCCGATAAATTTGCCCAGTGGAAGGTCGATAACGACCTTGTGTACAAATTTGTTCCGACCAACTCACCCTTCGTTGCTAATTCAATTGAATGGAAAGTATTAGTCCCGAAACCCCAGCGCCTTGAGGTAATTAAGTCATGCCACGATCCGCCTACGTGTGCTCATTTAGGTTTTTATAAAACCTTATCCCGGGTACAAGAGCGATATTATTGGCCGAAAATGAGGCGTGACATCCTTCAATATGTTAGGTCCTGCTTAGTATGTGGTGCACAGAAAGCACCAAACACCGCTCCTATGGGAATGATGGGTCGAGAAAAAACCGCTGACCGCCCCTGGCAAGTGATTGCCATAGATTTGATAGGGCCACTAACTAGGTCCAGAAAAGGCTACACATGGCTTTTGGTAATTGCGGATTGGTTTTCCAAATATACTCTCCTACACCCATTAAGAGCTGCAACTGCCACAAATATCGCTTCGTATTTGGAAGATAATGTCTTCCTTATGTTTGGTGTTCCCGAATATGTAATTTGTGACAATGCTCATAACTTTACCGGTCCCCCTTTGAAGAATCTCTGTGAGAGATATAACGTCCGTAAAATATGGTACAGTGCGGTTTATTCACCGCAATGCAATTTCGTGGAGCGAACCAACAAAACCATTGGTGCCGCAATTCGGTCGTACGTAGATGAGCACCGCGACTGGGACAAAAATTTGTCGAAGATTCGACAGGCACTAAATACTTCGAAACACGAAGTAACGGGCTACACGCCATGCTTTTTGAATTTCGCCCGTCACGTCCCGATTTCTGGCAACTACTATCAGTCACAGACCCCTGCAGAACATGATTTCGAGATAGTACCGGGAGATCGTCAAGCTTATGCCGCTACCGTAAAGGGTCTTTCCGAAGTTTTTTCGTTAGTTCGGCAAGGACTGCACAAGGCATATACGAGGAATGCGAATGCTTACAATATGCGGAGACGCCCCATCCAATTTTCAGTCGGCGATACCGTGTGGAAGAGAAACGTAGTGCATTCGAACGCCGCTAAGAATTTCATGTCCAAACTGGCTCCCAAATTCGTTATGTGTAAGGTGGTTAGGAAATTATCGCCTGTGGTGTACGAACTGAGCAATTTAGATGGTGTCAATATTGGGAAATGGCACATCAAGGACCTTAAAGAATTCTATTCCCCCGACGATATAGTGGACAACACATCGGATACCGAAGCAGACGAGTGAACTGCACGAGGATAGGTTAGGGTGGTACTAGAATCCCACTCGCCGAGGGTCCTGCGGTTTTACCGCGTCAATACGGTATTTTGTCCGATGCTGTAGTTATTATATCCAATTCCTTCTGCCTGTTGCCTTAACGGCACACTTTTAGCATACTTATTTGAAGTTTACCGTTACGCTTACGTTTACCGAATGTTTCTTCTCTTTCTTGTATCGTACCGTTATGTCTGTTCTACCGTCTGTTACGTTTACCGTCAATTGTCTATTTTCGTTACGTTATCGAGTTCTCGTGCATGCCGTCCGTCAGGATTACCTAGAAATCTAAGTAGTCTACACTTTTCGTTTTGTTTTGGATTTAAAATGCAATTCAGTTACGTCTTGCAGTACTTACAGTCAGTTTGAGTTCTATTTGGTATATTACTTAGAAAAACTGGCGCGCCGTTTTCCCTCTTGGGGAGGGGCTGTGTAGCAATTTTCAGTCCCCGACTTAATATAGAAAATAATTGTATACTGGAAATTGTTTAACTGGTTGCATACCTAGTAAATGGTATATTCGTAACCTTCTGTAAATGATAACGGAAAAGAAGACGACGTTGACTTGACAGAAGGGGGCTAGGAACGTATTTCCGGAAAGGAAGCAATTTTTTACGGCGGACGCTAGCTGGTGAAGTACAGAGGATGGTGGTGTGACAAAAAAATATAGAAATTTCGATTTAATCTTGGCCATCAGTGCCGATTTTTGAAAAATAAATAAGTAATGTGTCTTACCGAATTATTTAAGAGATTCGTTATAAAGTTTATTTGTGTGATTACAAATAGTTCACGTGTTGCAAGTTTTTGTGAATAAAATTGGAGATATTTCAATTATCCACAGTTAATTCACAGCAAAGACATATACTGTTTTGCTGTTAATACATTTCGAGAGTCCATAGTGGTTCAATAACGAGAATAGCAGATGTATCAGGGTTATTTCTTTTGCCAAGCGACTTCTGATTGGGTGTTGTCTTGCTGGATAGTAGTTCGTGGGGATTATTAACGCTCCGGAACCAAGGTAACAGCTTTATTTATCACCTTTATACACCAGGCAGAGATCAAGTAATTGAGGAACTTTTCCAACATAGTTATATGTGAGCTCTGTAGTTTTAAAATAATTACTGTAAATTTTCGTAGTTAAGTATTATTAGTAAATAAATATTAAAGATCTGTTGAGCTCAGCATTCTTGTTTTAATATGACAGGCAATGCTCAATAAATAAATCTATGATTAATTTGTTATTGTTGAATAAATATTGTGTTTCCTCATATTAGACACGCATTTATTACACTTGCCTTCGTATTAATATTTTATTTTCGTATACGACATAAAACTTACGTACTGACGCTATTTTCTTTCCGTTTTAACTTTTCTTGTTTTTTTTAATTTTAGTAAAGAGTAGATGTACTAGGGATATTCCAGACTGATGCACCAGTCAATGTGATATTATACCGGTTATACTCAGTACCAAAGATTTTATGTCGGATTCTTTGTTTATATTATGACTATATATTTTATGTCTATGTCAATATGTTCTTTTCTTTTTTTATGACGGAACGAATTTATGTTTATGTTACGTTGTGAGGTTTCCTAGTGAATTCCAGTGCGCATTCAGTGTCGAACTTAGAACTAACATTTTTCTTATATTTTTTTGTTTGCGCTAACTGACATTTTATATATTTTTTTTGTTTGCGCTAAATAAAATACTATTGTCAATATTCTCCATTTCTTCAATCACCTGATTCACGACTGCCAATTTTCATACCGTATATATTTACATATTTAAATTCACATCGGTTTGGATATTAGTACCTTTTCGGCTCGTACCGACAAATTCCTACGCAGGTAGGTGGCGCCCAACAATTTTTTTTGTCGTTTTGTTTTGTAAATGTATGAAATCTTTCTAGCTACGACACAGCACACTGCCTCTGATATAGATCCACGACCCCTCCGAGTACTTTAATGAGCAACGGTGCATTATAACCCATATGTCGGAACCTCTAGGTTGTTGCCTCTTAATTGGCACCAAAGGTTGCTGCAGTGGCATAAAGATTGGTATATTCCACAATATGAGATATTATTTTTTTATCGGCCACAGCTTCATAAAACTCACCAGCCGTTGCATCACATAACAACGAAGCAACTTCTGGTTTTATTCCTGAAGTCTCAATAAATGAGTCTTAATGGGTTAGCCGAGGCTGGGGTCAAATCATTCAAGCACCATATGTATCGTGTTTTGGGTACATAAGTTTTGACTTACGAAGAGTTCTATACTCTTATGACTCAAATCGAGGCAGTTCTTAACTCTCGTCCTTTGTGTTCAGCAAGGTCTGACCCTAATGACTTGCAGGAACTGACTCCTGACCATTTTTTAATTTTTGAACCCTTAGTGGATTCAATTCCCGATCCAGATCTAAGCACTTTAAAGATTAACTGTCTGAATCGTTGGCAATTAATCCAAAGGATAAGGGGGACTTTTGGAAAAAATGAACAACAGCCTCTTCTTTGCTGGCAATTGGCCAGGATCACTGAGTTGCATTGCGGCACCGGCGGTATTGTACGCGTTGTTAGTCTGAGGACAGCTTCAGATGGCATACTACAACGTCCGGTGGTCAAGATCTGCCCACTACCCATTTGTTAATAACTATCTTTTTCTTCATTTTTATTATTATTATATTAATAATTTAGTGTTCGTTTTTTATCCTTATCGTTGTAGTTGTTTTAAAAAAATTCGTTTTTAGGGGTGGAGAATGTTTGAAAAAGTGTTCAAGACTTATTTAAATATTTTATTTTTATTATTCAGAATATGACCTAATTTAGTTTTAAATCTTTTATTTAATTATACATCTTTATTACAGTTCCACATCTTTTAAATTCTCGCACTCAAATTGGCCGATTCATTATTGTCAAGTTCTGAGAATTCACTTGTCTGAAAAAACAACATGTTTTTGGGAAACTATTTATCAACCCGAAACATTTCAGAGTACTTAAGGAAACGTACCCGTCCTTTGTGTAGAAAGTTTAAAATGGCATTTTAAACTAATGTATTGCTATGCACGGAGGTCCTAATAAGAACAAAGGAACCACCTTAATCGACTGTCATACATACGTATTTTCTTTCGTATGATCGACCACTCTACCACAACTTGTCGTCGCGAACAGATATTACCACGAGCAGCCCTTAAGCACCAGCCACAGACGCCGCATTCATAAAAGGTAAGTGAATCTCATATAGAATTGACAATAAGTTATTAAATCTGCTAATTGTTACTTGCATTACAATATTTTATTTTACATATCCATTTACACATATTGCAATTTTCGTTATTTTAAATTAAATATTAACCAGCCATCTCATTCTGTTTTATACAAAATACTTATCACAAATCTAAGAATGATACAACCGTCTCTATATGAACTGTCATACGTTTATTTAAATTACTTTTCTCGAATATATTGTTTACTTTCACATTTATTTTTTTAACCATTGTGAACTCTTTGAACATGAACATTTAATGTTAATATTCAAATTTCTTCTTCTTCAGAGAGAGAATCAGTTCTTTTAATAAACAGCTTATTTCAAATTTGACATATTTTTAAGGTCTTTCACCAGTGTGAACTGACATATGTCTTTTTAAACTACTTTTTATAATAAACTGCTTACTACAAATTCCACATTTATGAGGTTTTTCACCAGTGTGAACTTTCATATGATAGTTTAAACCATTTGGTTGAGTAAACTGTTTATTACAAATTTTACATTTATAAGGTTTTTCACCAGTGTGAACTGCCATGTGTTTCTTTAAAGCAACTTTGTGAGTAAAAGTTTTAAAGCATATTTCACATTTATAAGGTCTTTCACCAGTGTGAAGTTTCATATGATACTTTAAACCAGATAGTTGACTAAATTGCTTACTACAAATTTTACATTTATAAGATTTTTCAGCAGTGTGAACTTTCATATGACTATTTAAATGACTAAACTGTTTACCACAAATTTCACATTTATGTTTTTGACCAGTGTGGATGCTCAGAATATGAGCATTTAAATGATTTTTTTGAGTAAACTGCATGCTACAAATTTCACATTTATAAGGCTTTTTACCAGTGTGAATTGTCATATGAAAATTTAGATTACTTAGGCGAATAAACTGTTTACTGCAAATGTCACATTTATGGTTTTGACCAGTGTGAATTCTCTGAATGTGAATATTTAAATTTCTTCTTTGAATAAATTGGTTATTACAAATTTTACATTTATAAGGCCTTTCACCAGTGTGAATTTTCATATGATAATTTAAACTACTTGGTTGAGTAAACTGTTTACTACAAATTTCACATTTATGTTTTTGATCAGTGTGAATTCGTTGAATATGAGCATTTAAATTACTTCTATGAATAAACTGCCTACTACAAATTTCACATTTAAGTTTTTGACCAGTGTGATTTCTCTGAATATGAACATTTAAATTACTTGGTAGAATAAACTGCTTACTACAAATTTCACATTTATAAGGCTTTTCGCCAGTGTGAACTTTCATATGACTATTTAAAATACTTAGGCGAATAAAGTCTTTACTACAAATTTTACATTCATGTTTTTGATCAGTGTGCATTCTCTGAATATGAGCATTTAAATCACTTCTTTGAATAAACCGCTTACTACAAATTTCACATTTATAAGGTCTTTCCCCAGTGTGAACTTTCTCATGATAATTTAAACTACTTAGACTAGTAAATTGCTTACTACAAATTTTACAATTATAAGGTCTTTCTCCAGAGTGAACTTTAACATGCACATCTAAATGAACTTTTTGAACAAACTGCTTATCACAAACTTCGCATTTATAAGGTTTGTTTCCAGTGTGTATTTTACTATGTGTATATAAATGAGATCTTTGAAAAAACTTCTTATCGCAAATGCCACATTTATGAGATCTTTTACGTGTATGAACTATCATATGTCTATTTAAATTAACTTTGCAAGGAAACTGTTTATAGCAAATTTCACATTTGTATGGTTTTTTTCCAGTGTGAGGTTTCAAATCTATTTTAATATCACCTAATGTTTTCATATTATTTATTGGTATCTTCTGCTGAGCATCTAAAATAAAAAAGGTACAAAATAATTTGTTTTCTACTGTAAGGTAAAATTGATGAAGATACTACGTAACAAATAAATAAATGAAGTATTTGAAAAAAATAAAACATACACATTAGATTTAAGGCAAACTACCATTTTTGCTATTTACATACTTTATATGCAGGATGTTTCAAAAAGGTATGTCATAAATTAAATCACGCATTCCGGGGACAGAAATAAATTGATTGAATCTAACTTGCCTTAGTACAAAAGTGTACAGAAAAAAAGTTACAGCCCTTTGAAGTTACAAAATAAAAATTCTTTTTTTGCATTATCTAATAAACTACTTGACATTTTGTAATAAAAATGGACACGTTACTTTCTTGTTCTGAAAGCATTTTTCATAAAAAAAACAACAAAATCTAAGAGCACAGAAAAATTTTAAAGGGGGTGTGCAGTCCTAATTCCCCCCAAACTTTTGAGTACATTCAAATCAAGTGAATTTTGTGGCATCATTAGTTTATCACATTATTTTTAAAAAAATTTTGCCTCATCACTTTTTTCAAATAACAGTTTTTATTAAGTTACGGCCCTTTTCGTTAACCTTTAAAAAAAATTTCAATACACGTTCGGTATCGTTTTAATAAGGAAAACCGAATACGACGAAAAATCATATTTTTCTGACGAAATTGATTTGCAGCTTAAATTATTCTAAACCTTAATTGTTGTTCGTCCTCTATTGTTACATAAAACACATTCTCTTTCATAAACCCCCAAAAGCAAAAGTCCATGGGGTTTAGACCTAGACTTCTGGCTGGCCAAGAAATAGGTGCGTCACGACCCCTTCCAATCCACCGACCAGGGTACTGCCTGCAAAGGTATTCCCGGACTTCATTTCTGTAATGCGGTGGAGCGTCATCTTGTAGAAACCACATATTTTGCCTTATTGTAATATTCACTTCTTCTAAATACTCTTGTAAATCGTTTGCCAAGAACTGCAAATAATTATCTTCTTCCTTTGCCCTATCCGTTTCGGACGTTGGCTATTAACAACGCTATTTTGACTTTGTTTACGGCACCTCTGAACAGTTCGGTCGATGTTAGTCCGAACCATTGTCGCAGGTTATGCATCCATGAGTGTCGTCTTCTTCCCGGTCCCCTCCTACTGTCGATTCTTCCTTGGACTATTAACTGTAGCAGCCGGTACATAGTATGCCTCATGACATGTCCGAAGTACTCAAGCTTCCGTTTCTTTACGGTGAAGATTATTTCTTTGCTTTTGCCTATTCTCTGCATGACTTCCACGTTAGTGATGTGCTCTGCATTACTTCCACGTTAGATTCTAGTTTCTTCAGGGTGGCTTCCGTTGTGGTCCATGCCTCTGCTCCATAGAACAAGACCGGGAAGACATAACACTTGACCAGTCTTAATTTTAGTTCCATTGAGATTTTGCTTGTGAACCACTTTTTCATATTGTTGAACGCATTTCGCGCTTTTTCAATTCGTGTTCTTATTTCTGTTGACTGTGGTTCCAAGGTATGTGTATGTCTCCACTTGTTCTATTTTTCGGTTTTTTAATGTCAATTGCATCGGAGGTTGTTGTGTTCTACTGATGAGCATGCATTTAGTTTTGGTTGTATTGAGTTCTAAACCATATTCTTGACTTGCTGTGTGTATGCTTTGCATGAGTCTTTGAAGCTCGTTGCAGTCATTTGCGATAATAACTGTGCCGTCAGCATATCTAATATTATTGATTGAATACTTATCACCATTTAAATTGTTGGGAAGAAATACTGGGCCTATTAGATTATTATCCACAATTCCTGCCCAAACATTAACTTTGAAAGTCCTTTTGTGATGAGTAATTTTTTTGGCGTGAGGATTTTCGTCGGCCCAAATGTGCTCTTTATGATGGTTTGTTATTCAATTTCTACTGAAGGTAGCCTCTTCGGTATACAAAATATTTCTAATAAAATTTTTAAAAACATTGAGTGTTTTCCATTAACAACCAATCGCAAAATCCAATCCCTTTTAGGATAATCCTCAACCAATACCTCTTGAGCCGTTGTTAAGTG